CTTTTCTGAAGTGATAGTTTACCACCTGTGTGAAAACAGCACAGTCCCTGACTCCATTTCAGGGCAAAGAATGTTTTAGTTATACGCAGAATGAGTGAAGTTAACCCACATGCAGGGTAGTATGGGGGGTTGGGTGAGGTAGGAGAGGGTATAGTCTAGTTGTTTGTTGTTGTTGTTTAAGTAGGCTCCATGCTGGGCGTGGAGCCCAATGCAGGGCTTGAACTCATGACCCTGAGATAAAGAGTCAGACACAACCAACTGAGCCACCCACGTGCCCCAAAGGCATTAGTTTTTATTACATGGGTCCTTTGCTCATTTGTGGTTCATACCCTCGTTGTGCTTCAGGTCTTTGTCCTCTCATTTGGGTTATAGTCAGCCTCCCAGTCTGGGAGCTAAGGTCCTTGGAATTGAGGATGTTATGTCAGTCTTTTTGCTTTCACTCTGTTCCTGCCACTGAGAGAAGCATACACACGGTTCTCAGAGAAGAGAAATGAAAAGGGATCCTTTTAACAGGGACCAAAAACTAAACTAAAACAGTAATTCAAATTTCAGAAATTGGAGAAAATGGGAGGTCAAAGTTTCTTGGTGGTGCCAGGGTAGGTATTTAAATAGGAAAGCATCTGTGTTGTGGTCTAGAGAGAATGAGAAATCTCAGTCCCAGGGCAGGAATAAAATAAATTTCCTGCCTAAACTTAGCAGGCCCAGTCTGCTTCTATAAATATTGACCTTGGAAGTCACTATCTGGAGGCATTTCTCCATTCAGCAATATTGAATGACTTAGAACCTGTCATTTCATATTTTGCAGTTTCCTTGATCTTGAGCATGGAGGATGGATGTGTTACTGACTATGTGCCTAAACATAAGAGTCCCTCAGAAGTTAGAAGAAGGGGTGATTGACAAGACAGCAGAATCTGTAATAAGACAGTAGCAAGCTGTAATTACTCTGATTTGATGATTGGTTCCTGACTACAGGAGCCCTAAAAGTATAAAATAAAACATAGTTCTAGCTTCTTTTAGGTACACACAGGGTAGCAGTGTCGAGAAAAGATAAGAACAATGCTGTGCAATAGAATTTTTTGTGGTGATAGACATGATTCTCTACCGTGCATAATGGTAGCCGCTAGCCTCATCTAGGTATTGAGCAGTTGCAGTGTGGCTAGTATAACTAAGGAACTGCATTTTTATTTTTATTTCATCTTAATGGTATTACATGTTAATGGTATTACATTTACATGGCCACATTCGGCTAGTGGCTACTGTTTCGAACAATGCATGATAAGAGTCGATATTGATGGACTGTGTGTACCTTTAGTTGTTCTTCTGATCCAATTCATGGTTAGGTGGGTCTACAGAAACCAGAAACAAAAATAAGACAAAGCGGGGGGAGCCTGAGTGGCTTAGTCGGTTAAGCGTCCGACTTTCGCTTAGGTCACGATCTCGCGGTTCGTAGGTTCAAGCCCCGCATCGGGCTCCGGGTTGACTGCCAGCTCAGAGCCTGGAGCCTGTTTCAGTCTGTGACTCCCTCTCTCTCTGACCCTCCCCTGCTCACGCTGTCTCTCTCTCTCTTTCCTAGAAATAAATAAAACATTAAAAAAAATAAGACAAAGGGGAATAATAATAATAATAGCCAACATTTGCTGCATGTTTACTATAATTCCTGGCACTTATCTAAACACTGAACAGGCATTTTATACAATTGTTGCAACAACAGTAAATACTATTATTACCAATACTTTACAGATGAGAACACTGAGGCATAGTGAGACTTTCACTTGCCTTGGATCACACAGCCAGTAAGTAAGGGGTGGAGAGGGAATTCATACACAGGTAGTCTGATTACAGAGTCCACTCATCTACACTACATAGACTCAGGGATGGAGGTGGCATGGAGTGACTGGGGCCATAGTTCCCAAATTCTGTGCCAAGGTACACATTCTCAGGGGTACCATGGGATATTTAAAGTTTTTAAGGGAAACACAGCCATATTCAATATCTCTGTATACTATGCAAACTACCAGTTCAAAGTAATTCATAATATGAACACTAGATTGTTTCAACATTCCTTTTGATGACAAAATATCTTTGTGAAGTTGGATTTTAGAAGCTCCCTCTGATAAAAAAAAGTAAGTACTGTGTGACAATCAGCCCAGAACAGGAAATAGGGTAGCAGTGTTGGATTCCAACATTTGAGAAGTTGTGCAGTGCCCAACAGGCACACATATCTCCTTAGTAATCATTTGCGGTTATCTGAGAAATATTAACAAATATTTTTTCTTTCAGTGTGTGTGTATTTTTTCCAAATGGTTTCTGAATTGTTAGGAAACAGGTACTTAAAAAGTAAGTGTGTTAAGTATTTATTTTGACCTATGGGTGCTATAAAAAATTGCTGAGGGAGTGCCTGGGTGGCTGAGTCAGTTAAGCCTCCAACTTCGGCTCAGGTCATGATCTTGCGGTTTGTGAGTTTGAGTCCCACATCAGGCTCTGTGCTGACAGCTCAGAGCCTGGAGCCTTCCTCAGATTCTGTGTCTTCCTCTCTCTCTGCTCCTCCCCTGCTTGCACTCTGTCTCTCTCCCTAAAAATAAATAAACATTAAAAAAACTTTTAAAAAATTGCTGAGAAAGTAAGTGCACTGTAAACTGAGAAACTGGGAACCTCTTGACTGGGATGTTGAAAATAGATCAAAATGGTCATAAAGGATTAGAGTATTGGCTTGAGATGGCTTAAAGAGAAATAATAAACATTTCATGCATTTGACCATTAAGTATCTGCTGTACACCAGTGCTCACAGTGTAGCAGATACACACGAAATGTCTGAGTCTGTACCCTTTAGAGGTCAAAAACTTGTGAGGTAGGCAGTAAGAGATGTAAACTATCCAAGGTTAGAGGTAGGATGGGATTCAAGGTAGGGTCTGATGTGACCTGGAGCCTGAGCCTTCTTGTTGGATAGGCCACAAGATAAAGATGTGGTCTGAGGAGACCTCCTGAGTCCCATAGGATAGACTCCTCTCTGGGCCATTGGTGATTCCAATGGGATTGGGGGTCTAAGTGACTGTGCTGGAGGTTGGTTGCTGAACATGAATTCAGAATAAAGTATGTTGTGAAGTTCTAAAGGTTATGTCACCCTGGCCGAGGAGCAGTCTGGTAAACTGTTCTTGCCTGTCTCATAGCAGTATATTTTGGGGGGACCAGAATGTATGTATATATCTGTGTGTGTGTATATATATATATGTGTGTGTGTGTGTGTGTGTGTGTTGTATATGTATGTATATATATGTGTGTGTGTATATACGTGTGTGTATATATACGTGTGTGTGTGTATATATATATATATATCCTTTCCCACATGATGCTGAAGAAACACTACAGAAGACTGAGCCTGGTCCCCCAATTTTCTTTTTGTAGGTTTATCATAGATCATCTTCTTTTGGTTTGCATACACTTACTTTAGACAGAGTCCATAAAATCAGTTGACCAAGTTGGCACTTTCTTAAATATAATCATGTCATAATCTTGTCTTTTGTATAAACTGGATTGGATTTGGGCAATTAAGAAAAACTTTCAGGAATCAAATATGGATAAATATTTCCTTGGGCTGATTTTTACTTAGGACCAATCTTACCCATCATTTAAAATTGTGCTTTTAGGAGTGCCTGAGTGGCTCAGTGGGTTAAGTGTCTGACTTCGGCTCAGGTCATGATCTCGTGGCTTGTGAATTTGAGTCCCCTATAGGGCTGTTTACTGTCAGCACAGAGCCCACTTTGGATCTTCTGTCCCCCACTCTCCCCCTCCCCGTTCCTCCCCTGCTTGTTCTCTCTCTCTCTCTCAAAATAAATAAATAAATAAACTTTTAAAAAATTGTGGTTTCAATCGTTCATTGCTCATTACTAAGGCAAACTTTACTTTTGGATTACCCTGTTGTTACCTTTGATAAAATTACTGAATGAATAAGGATAATAATAATAATAATAACATAATAATAATGATGATAGAATAAACCCTTCATTTGGCACTGGACTCAGTTCCATGAATGAGACAGAAACAGGGCTGGGAAACAGTGGCTTGGACCATAGCAGTGGGTAAGGTGGATAAAATGGCAGGCAGTAAAGACTGTGTTCAGGAGACTGGAAACAGATGGAGAATTCCATAGCTAAGCAAAGGGCATTGATTTGTAATTGTTTGTAAGCTTAATTAAACTTGCAAAAGTGGGGAAAAGAAATAGCTGAGCTCTTACGAAGGTGCTATATTGTGGAGCTCTACTATGAGCAGTCCCTTGGTTTTCTGAATTGCTTGGAACCAGTATTGTGTCAATGAATGGATTATCTGCATTTGCCCATCCTATCCCTACCCCATCCCCACCCCAATCTCACCCTTTCTCTGTTTGTTTTAAAGGTCCAGGAATTCTTTCCCTGACAACTTTTTCTTCCCCCCCTAATGGGCCCTGGGTTTAGAGTTGATAGTTTTCCCAAATTCTGTAACCTCCAGGACAGTACTGTTTCTAAGTTTTACCCTCTTTGTTTTCTCCAGGAAGTGACTCAGAAGGGAAAAAGCCTGGAATGAAGTCAATCCTATTAGGAAAGCACATCTAAATAGAGTTTTGAGGGCATTAGAGAAGTTTTTTTTTTTTGAAAGTGTAAAAGTCACTTTACTTTGATACAAAATCATGTAAAATCATATAAAGTCTCGTGAAGCAAAATAGAATATTCCCTACATATCCATGAGATCATCACTGGAATGGAATGTCAATAAACATTTTTTTCCTGCGTTTTCTCCTACCCTCGCCCTATGGGCTCATGTATTTTTGCTGCTACTACGTGGGAGAGACCAGGTCACCTGTGGGACCAGACAAATCGAAGGCGCATCTGCACGCTGGAGGCCCCTCTGGGAGGCCCAAGTGGAGCAGGAAGTAGGTCTTGTTTCCCTTTCGCTTTCCTTCTCCTGTCTTGCTCTGGCCGAGCCTCCAGGGGTGTCCAGCTCTACGGCCACACAAATAATGATCACGAGAGCCTCCCCTCCTTCCTCCTCAGTGGCTTTCAGGGGAAACAAATGAGCAAGGACAGTGCACACACGTGGCGCGCAGAGATGCGTTTGGAAGTCGTGGCCTGCTGCCTTCTTGAGTCCAAGATCCCCTGCCTTCGTCATGGCCTTAGGCCTGTGTCTACTTCCCGGATCGGAAAAAGAACAACTTCCTTATGATGGTCTTCTCCTCGTTACTTCTGGCATTGCCAGGCCTGGTGACATGGGCATCGTTTTCTCTTCCTCCTCCTGAGCCTTCTCTTGGAATCAGAACACTCTTATAGCACTGCAGCTCCTCCTGCATCAGCAGCAGCTGGGACTTGAGTTTGTTGCGCTCCTGGAGCACATCCCTTAGCTCTTTTAGAGTGAAACGTGGCCGGTTGGGCTCTGTCAGGTCAACCACCACTTTGTCTGGTCCCAGGTTTACCTCCCCGCTGGCCACTGGGCCCTCGGTCTGCAGCCCCTCTACCTCCTTCTTGAGGCTGTCCCTCTCCATTCTCAGCTCCTCCACCGTCAGGTTGTCCTCATTCACCAGCGTCTCCAGCATCTCCAGGACGCGGACGATCCTGAACTGCAGCTGTGTCACCCGGGGGTCGCTGCCCAAGGCCATCAGCTCGCGGCCCATCACATAGGAGATATCATACCCGTCCTCGGCTGTCAGCTGGAAGGGGCTCTTGCCCAAAGCCCCCTCGGGCCCATGCAAGTCCACCTTCGCATAGAACATGAACTTTATTTATTTATTTATTTTTTTACAAATAGTTTATTGTCAAATTAGTTTCCACATAACACTCAGTGCTCATCCCCAAAGTGCCCTCCTCCATGCCCATCCCCCCCAAAACATGAACTTTAAATATAGTTCATTACTGGGCCCCTGAAGGCTCAGTCGGTTAAGGGTCTGACTTTCACCCAGTTCACAGTCTCATACTTTGTGAGTTTGAGCCCTGCATGGGGCTCTGTGCTGACAGCTCAGAGCCTGGAGCCTGTTTTGGATTCTATGTCTCCCTCTCTCTCTGCCCCTCCTCAACTCATGCTGTGTGTCTCTCTCTCAAAAATATATAAATATATTTTTAAAACTTTAATAATAAATAAATACAGTTCATTGCCAAACTGCAATATACTGCTTCTTGCAGCCCCAGATGGAAAGCTGCAATTCAACAGGAATTAAACTCTTTTAGCTAATTATAATTTTGCAAAATGATTTTGTAAATGTGAGCCATTTTGGAAAGCTCTTTTTTGCCATTAGAGACCCACTGCTTTTACCCATCAGCAGAGCACTATTTAGATTTTCTTCCAATCTGTGTCTCCAAAATTGCAATTCTTTAGGTTCCAAATAAATTTTTGTTTGCCTTGCAGCTTCATTGCAAATTTTGTTTGACATTACATGACGTCAGAAGTGGGGCCGGAGAGCATCTCATCTCCCTCCTCTGGCTCTGCCATAGCTTCAAGTAAGGTACTTAAAAGGGTCCTTTGTGCCCTGTCACCTCCCTAGTAGCCCCAGTCAGAATCTGATGAGTCCTTCTGTAACCCAAACTTCCCTGTCTGAAGTTCTGTTTTACTTTGAGTGTCTTCTGTTACTACTTTTGTTCTCAGGACTTCACTTCCTGCCATTGCCCTGGTGAGTACTAAATTTCTCTTGAAAATGCAGTTTGCATTCTGAGGGACAGCCTACTGGGCAGACTTCTCCTGGAAATCCTACTGGTTTTATGTATAAGAATTACAGGATCTCATCCTGCAAATCCCTATCTCTCTGGACAATGATTACCTGGGATGATTTAAAATTAAATGGGCCAACTTGAGATTCTTTCAAAATTCCTAAGTCAGTTTATTTGTGCAATGAATTAGAGAAAGGAGAGAAGACTAAACAATCCAAATGGGAAGTTTGATTGTGAAATAGAGTGTGAGCAGAGGAGAGGGGAAGAGAGAGAGAGAATCACAAGCAGGTTCCACACTAAGTGAGGAACCTGATCTGAAGCTTTGATCCCAGGACCCTGGGATCATGAACGGAGCTGAAATCAAGAGTTGGGGTGCTCAACTGACTGGGGCTATCCAGACACCCTGTGGGAACCTTACTTTAGTTAATCATTTCAAGGCCTCAAAATGTGTTCATGACTCAAAAATTGCCTCCTTCCAGGATACTAATCCTAAACTAAGGCAAATTCTGAGTAGTCTCAGAGACTTACTAAACTAGAAGAATCTCCTGCTGCTTCATCCCTCCCACTATCTGCTCCCCCCTGCCTATCTGCCCACCATCCCTCTCTCACTTGCTCCCTGAACTTCCTTTCTATGATGATTATCTGGAGACTTCTCAGGACCGATCCCTACATATAGCATCTTTTACAGGTAAGCCCGGAGAGGACACTTTAGGATCCCAGGTCTCTCATTCTCCTTGGACTAAAGCTGAACTATGAGCTATTACCAAGGAGTTACCTAACCCTAAAGAAAACCCTATTGGGTTTGCTAGACAACTCTTGATTATAGTCCAAATTTATAAGCCAGGATTCTCTGATCTTTATCAGCTCATGCTCATGTTAGTAGGTGGAAGACTTGCTAGAGAATGGATGCAAAAAAGGGGATGGACAGATCCTTTATTGAGCTTCCCCAGAAAAAGGCTTTAGACATAAGAGAAGTCCAAAATTAGCTAAAAGACTCCACAAAGAGATTCCTGATGGTTTTCCCCATACTATTCACTGGGCGAAAAAAATCCAAAAAATGTGTCCAAAGATCTGATAAATGGGTTTTGTATTATTTTGAAAGATGGAGGAAAAATTTTAAGCAACTGTCTGGCATTGAAAAAGTTCACCATCACACCACACCTCCACCTTGTGAAATTCTGCTTTTATTGAAGGTTTGCAAGAGGAGTTTGCAACTCAGATTAAAAAATAATAATTGATTGATTGATTTTAAAAACCTGCAACTTAAAACAAAACAAAACAAAACAAACAAAACAAAACAAAACACCCCTGCAACTTAGCTGGGCTACTATGAAACTCCATGACCTAGTTAGTTACTGCTGGGCAGCTCTCCAAAGCTATTCCAAACAAAATAAAAAAGAAACCCACACAAGGCCTAAATACTCAAGTATAAGCAACCCAAATTATGAACATGCAATTACAACAATTGACTAAATCTTCTCACCAAGATTTTCCAGGCAAATCACCCTTTAAGGATTGCACTCCTGTAAAAAGGTGGGGGCATTGCATTGGGAAAAAAAACGATCTCAAACTTGAGAGGTGATGACAAGATGATTAGCCCTCAAATTTCACTGCATCTTTCCCAGGAAAACAAGCCAAATTTCAACCTTAGGGCTGGTCTGGGCTTGTTTCTTATATGCACAGGTTTGTTTGTTTGTTTGTTTGTTTCCATCCTCCAGATCAATCCTTTGGAATTAATCTTATTTCACTGTGGGAGAGGAGATGACCAAAATCCTGTTGGGGTGGGAGTGAGGGGGCTGTCCGTAATCCCATCTGCTTCAAATCGTGGGAGTTTCTAATATACCTGTAACTGTTTTAAAATCATTACCATTCCCTTTTCAGTTAGGATTTATCCAAGGGACTTGCCAATTCCTTTTAGTTCTTCAGTAGTTACCTTTTAGGATCAGATTCCTTGAGGCCCATGAGGCACACATATCTTTTTCCCAAAAGAGGGAAATATTTTTACATTTGAACCTGTTGAAAAACTTCAAGACAATTTCTTGGTTACTGTCCCTGTGCTCCTTATCTTTTTTAATGATTTTTTTTTTTAAAGGAATCCCTATACTCAATGTAGGACTCAAACTCAAAACCCCGAGATCAAAAGTCACATGCTCCATGGACTGAGCCAGCCAGGGATGCCCTGTCCCTGTGTTCTTTAATAACATAACTCATACACCCATCTGTCTCCAAGATTCTATCCACATGAGATACTTTGGGCAAAAACATGCCACCAATAGAGGCCACATCCACTCTGCACCACCTATAAAAATTCTAGTGGATGAAAGAAAGCCTCTGACAAATATTACAATATATATTACATACAGAGGCTATTCAAGGAATCAAGCCCATAATTGAGGAATAGATTAAATAAGGCCAAAAAAATTAAAACAAAAACAAAAAGCAACGCCTAACTGTTCCATATACAAGCCCTTATAATATCCCCTTTCTTCCTGTACAAAAACCCCATGGAAGAGGATGGAGGTTTGTTCAGGACTTAAGAGTTAGCAATAATATCGTTATTCCTCAGCACCCAGTCATGCCAAATCCTCACACTCTACTTTCAGTCTCATCTCCAGAAAGCACAACCTTCACTGTAATAGATCTTGGTAATGACCCTGAACGCCAGTACCTGTTTGCCTTTACAGGGGAAAATGAACAATTTACCTGGACTGTTATGCCTCAAGTTAAATATTTGGGGCATCTAATTTCTGATCACGGCCTCCATCTAGATCCAGACAGGAGGGCATTTTACCCTTCCCTTGCTGCAGTACAAAAAGACAGCTCAGAGGATGTGGGGGACGAGCAGTGCACTGTAGGAACTGGATTCCACTACTTTTATTTTTTCTTTGTTTGTTTCTTCTTCTTCGTCTTCTTCTTCTTCTTCTTCTTCTTCTGCTTCTGCTTCTGCTTCTGCTTCTGCTTCTGCTTCTGCTTCTTCTTCTTCTGCTGCTGCTGCTGCTTCTTCTTCTCCTCCTCCTCCTCCTCCTCCTCCTCCTCCTCCTCCTCCTCCTCCTCCATCTTTGGCCATAGCCCTATATTTACACTTTCTTCCTAAAATCGATCAGACCAAACCTCTCATCTGGTCAAAAAGTCTCAAGAATCCTCATTAAAGACAGCCTTCAAGACTTATCTGCACTGGTCACCTTAATTACAAGTTGCCTTTTCCCCTTTTGTTCCACAAAAGAATGGGAAATGCCATGGGGAATCAACAGAGGCCCCTAGGATATCAGAGCCAACAATTAGATCCAGTAGCTAAGGGCCTCCCTTCCCATGAGGCCAACAGCAGCTACTGCCAACTTGCTACAAGGCATAAAAGAAAGAGTGATGGGCTCTCTACTTACCATCCATGTGCCCCACTCTGTACAAGCTTTGCTTCACTCTCCTCACACTCAGCTCTTATCTACTGGCTGGCTAACCTTCAATGAACAATTTTTGCTCCCCGCCCCCTCACTGTGACCATTGCTTCCTGTTAACACCTTAAACCCCATCTGCTTCTTCCTCTGCCAACTGACAAAACCTCTCATGACTGTTTAAGGCTGACTAACCAACTTTTAACCCCTTGGATTGGTTTACAAGAAATGTCTCTCAAGAATGCTGAATTAATCTGGCTCACTGACAGATCCTGTTTAAAGGATGAAACTGGTCACTGCCTAGTCGGTGATGCTATAATATCTTTAACTGGCCACTGAGGCTAAACCCATACCAAAGGCCACTTCTGCTCAGAAGGCAGAACTCTTTGCCCTAACTAGAGCCTATTTTCAAGGTAAAGATAAAGCTGCTAACATCTATTCCATCTATAAAGATAAAGCACATCTTTATCTGTTTGCACATCTATATCCTGAGCGTCCAACCTCAGCTCAGGTTATGATCTCCCGTCTCATGAGTTCAAGCCCCACATTGGGCTCTGTGCTGACAGCTCAGAGCCTGGAGCCTGCTTTGGATTCCGTTTCTCCCTCTCTCTCTGACTCACCTACCAAATAAATACACATTAAAAAAATTTTAAATGCTATTCAACAGCCCAGATTTGGCGATCATTAAAATTCCAAGACACTCTATGGTAAACAGAGAAAAGCAAAAGAAATCATTTGGCTGATGCAGCTTCTAAGTCAGCAGCTTTAAGTCAGCCCCACACCTTTAATAAAGGCACCTGCAACTCCCATGTCTCCTGAATTTGCTGACAATCAAAGAGGTAAAATAACAGAAGCCCAACAGTTAACTGTTTGGCAAAATAGAAAGAAATGAACACAACAAGGTTATAAATATGACCTCAGATAAAATCAGTGGATAGACCTTATCAACCCACCGCCCCATGATTACCTACAGAGACATGTCCTGCAATATACACACGATTTGACACATTCGAATACTGATAAAATGGTCTCCTCGGGAAGACAATCCTACTAGAAACCATGACCAAAAATCACCTCACAGGTAAACCCGAGGTGTCAGGTTTGCCTAAAACATAATTCTGGAAAGCCTATTCATACTTGTATGGGGCGTTTCCCTTTGCCTTCTGGACCTTTCAAGGTATGGCAAATGGACTTCAATCAGTTGTCTCCTTCCCAAGGATATAAATATATATTAGCAATGATTTGTAAGTTTTCTCAGTAGGTAGGTTGAGTCTTTCCATGTTGGAGACCCATCACCAGAGCAGCAGGCAAGACATTGTTAGAAAAGATTATTCCTACCTAGGGAGTTCCCTCTAATCTTCATAGCGATTTGGAATCTCATTTTACTAGCCAAGTAATCCAATCTCTCTGCAAAACTTGGCCCATTCTGCAGCATTTCCATTGTGCTTATCACCCCACTCTTTAGGATTGGTAGAATGTACTATGGAATCATTAAAGGAGCTAAACTAATAGAGTCTTATAAACTGCCTTGGCCTAAAGTTCTGCCCCTGGTCTTGCTTAGCTTCTCTTGGAATGAACGGATCATCTGTTTTTGAATTTAATACTGGCAGGCCTATGAGGCTAGATATAAGCATGTATCAACTAGTTTTGCTTCAAGGAAATTGCTAACCTATTGCAAGGAACTTGTTGAAGCTTTAAAGGCTAACTCCCAGCTTCTTGGGGCACCTGGGTGGCTCAGTCAGTTAAGCCACTGACTTTGGCTAAGGTCATGATCTCACAGTTCATGAGTTAGAGTCCCGTGTCAGGCTCTGTGCTGACAGCTCAGCCTGGAGCCTGATTCGGGTTCCCTCACTCTGCCTCTCCCCTGCTCACACTCTGTCTCTCTCTCTCAAAAATAAATAAACATTGAAGAAATTTAAAACAAAAGCTGACTCCCATCTTCTAGTACAATCTTCACATAGTGTGCTCTGGGGAAGAAAAGAGCACAAACCATCATGACCTCCAACCTGGAGATGATATTCACTGAGAAAGACAACGTCATAAGGATGCTCTACCACTCTGACAGAAGGGAATATACCAGGTATTAATTAACCAGTCTTTATGCTCCCAAGCTAAGGAGGCACTGACTCATAGATTCACGTTTCTCATTTAGAAAAGGGTCCTCCTCACATGAAACGATGCTCAGCATCCCTCCTCATCAGGGAAATACAAATCAAAACCACACTGAGATACCACCTCACGCCAGTCAGAGTGGCTAAAATGAGCAAATCAGAGAACTCGAGATGCTGGCGAGGATGTGGAGAAATGGGCACCCTCCTACACTATTGGTAGGAATGTAAACTGGTACAGCCCCTCTGGAAAACAGTGTGGAGGTTCCTCAGGAAACTAACAATAGAACTCCCTTATGACCCAGCAATAGCACTGCTAGGAATTTACCCAAGGGATACAGAAATGCTGAGGCAGAGGAGC